TTTCCAACGGAACAGAGGACTTTCTCTTCTTCTGCTTCTATGGCCGTGTACTTCATCGAAATACTTAACTATCAAAGCCACATAAACTAACCAGTGTAAGCACTGTGTCTTGAATAACGTCTCACATAACACCATATAGCAGGACGGGAATGATGAGGGACTTGTAGAGTTTGGCTCTTATTCGTCGAGTGAGGGTTTTACTTTTCAATGCTTACTCAATCCAAAGTAAAGCCAATTGGCAAGAGGTTCAAGATTATGACGTGGGAGCCGAGACGTGAAACCGATGACTATTTGCTTGACGAAGGGAGATATATAACCTGGACCTCATGCCGTTCACTACTAGAAAGAAGCTAAGCATCTGGCTTCTCAGTTTGGTGAAAGAAAAGCTCACGGTGCGGTTGTTATTGTACCTTCTCTATTCAGCTCTTATTATTTTCTCCAGTAATAAGTTATAGAGTCAGCTTCTCTGAAACCTCGCTTGGTATCGAACGGCTCGAAGAAGTTCTTCCCTATTCTGACTGAGCTTCTGGTATTGCCCAAAATCAGTTTATATAGCAGGAGATATGGAATTCAGAAATAGCGGCTTAGAAGCTGCGCTAATTTTAACTGACTATAAGTTCCCCTTTATAGTAAACTCTGCACAGCTCACTTGGTCGACTTGAAATCCATCGGCCCTCACCGTTTTGTCGTATTTCAAGCGGGAAACTGCTTTTCGAACTTCTTCTAAGTGAGGCAATGAAACATATGTTCCTGGTCAATGATTGTAGAATCGGACTCGCAATCTTCTGTTGTTCCCTTTTATGGCTTGGTATTGTAACAGTCAATCCATTTTGGTTTCGTCGATTTCGCTCCGGTAATTTTGATGTAAAAGATGTCCCACGGTGCGGAATGCCAATTATCGAAAATGTCGATAAAGTAATGGAAATCGTCGAGTCTGACCATCATGCGAGCACTGTTTCAATTGCCTAGGTGCTAAACATTGTACAAAAAATGTTTGGAATCATGTGAAAATTGCTGGATACCCAAAGAAGCTCTAAGTATGGCTGCCATATTAGTTAAGGAGAAAAAAACTGCTGGACCGACAAAATCGACTCATTTCTAAAGCGAATTGTGACTGGTGACTGAAAAGTGGATCACTCACAGCAATTTCAAACTAAAACGGTCGCTGTTGAAGGGCAATGAGGCGGCGCAAACAGTCTCTAAGCCAGGATTGATGGTCAGAAAGGTTTTGTTGGGTGTTTGATGGGATTGGCAAGGAATCATCCACTATGTGCTGCTCTCCTATGACCTTTCCTTCCCTCTGAAGGAAGCTATCGCCCAGAAGCGCCCAGCCAGCAGGAGGGTAATTGTGTTTCATCAGGATAACGCCGAACCATAAGCATCAATATTCGTCAGGGATGAATTGTTACTTGACCAATATATATAAATATATATATGTATGTACAAGCGGACTAAGAAAAGTTCGGTCAGTGGGTGACTTTCAATTTATTTTTGTTAAATCTAAAAACACCAAATCCCTTGTAATTCCTCTATTTGTATTCCTCTCAAATTTTAGAATGATCGGCCAAAACAGAGACGAAAAAACACAAAATAGCTGAGGATAGGTCAGACGAAATTCCACCACCAATGCAAACAGAATATCACTATGTGATTCTTTAGGGGGTTTCGGCGTAATTTACAGCAAATTTCATATGGAACTATCTTTGAAGACCTTTTCTGAGTTGCTCTGAAGATTCCAGAACGGACATTTTTCTGTAGAGGACGAGATCCGAAACGGTCGACCAATATCTTTCACTGATGATGTCACCGTAGCTCTGGTGAAGTCCAAAATTGACGAAGACCCACGATTGACACAAGAAATGATTGCTAATGATTTGGGTTTAAATCCCAAGGCTGTATCGCATTTTTTAAGTAATCATCAGATACGATACACGAAGAAATCTGTCAGATGGGTAGCATGAATTTTAAAGAGACTCGAGTGCATTTTCCTCAATTTTTCCAAAACAAATTCAAAATGGGCAGTCTAGCAACTTCGGAAAAGTCATTACTGGTGACGAATCTTGGTTCTACAAGTACGGCTTAGAAACCAAACAGCACTTCAGGTATGGAGCCCAACAGAAGCAAACCCACCCGTAAAATCTTAAAAAAAAAACCAGCAGCAAAAGTCAAAAGTAATGAGCCAGTCAGTTTACTTCCCCCGAGCTAAAATCTGCTATTCCACCGGAAAAGAGTCCGACGGGAACTACAAAATGATGCACCGAAGAGTGCCAACCAAAAGTTTTCAAAAATTTGTTGGAAAAAAGAAAGAGAGGATTGGCGAAGCTATCTTTTACATCATTACAACGCGCCATCCCACACTGCTGAAATAATGAGTAATTTTATTGCGATCTCTGCGTTCGAAGTCCAGTACCATATTTCCCGGTTATAGCACCTTGAAATTTCTGGTTGTTTTCAAAAATTAAAAAAAAAAAATAATAAAAGGAAAGATCTTTAAAAGCAACGAGGAGATACTTAATGCGGTTTATGCTGAACTTGATAAGCTAAAAAGCAAGGTTTTGGAAGACACTGTTCAGAAGGGATATATAGGCTTAAGAAATGCGTTGAAATCTACGGTGGTTGTATAGAGAAGATAAAAAAGGAAAAAGATTACCAAAACAAACAAAAATAACTAGTCAACTTACGGAACTTTTTCCAGTGAGTTTCAAATATCTGTCGAAAATTCATACCACAAATAAGCCTACCTTCTATGCAACTCTGAGGTCTAGTTAGTCTCTAGCTTAACTTTTATTCTTACTTATAGGAAATTTATAGTCCTTTATATACAGCGTTGGCCAAAAGTATTAGGCACCCCAGTAATGACCGAATTTTTTGTTTTAACAAGTGAAGTAATGAAGTTTTAATAGTAAAACAGTGAAAATACAACGAATTAGCGATAATAGCATTAATATTTAGTAGGTCAACCCTTTGATTTAATAACGCCAGCAATTCTCTTAGGCATGCTGTGTACAAGCTTTGCACAATCGTCCGCACTCATAGCGTACCACTCGTTAATTAAGGCATTTTTAAGGCAGTTTTTGTTGTTATGCTGTGTTCTTTAATCTTGCGTTTTAAAATAGCTCACATGTGCTCAATGGGATTAAGATCTGGAGACTGTGCATACCAATCTAACAAAACAATGTTGTTATCTCTAAACCAACGCATCGTAGTCGCTGATTTTTGACATGGAGCATTGTCTTGCTGAAATTGAACTCCGTCTAAATTAGTATTGCCGAAAATGCGCATTAACGAAAGCAGAAGGGTAAGAAGCTACGGCTTAATTAAGCTTACCTCGTAGTTTGATTCATCCAACCACAGAAGGTTCGACCAATCTTCTTCCGTGAAATATTGGTATCGGCGAGCACATTCCAAACGTTTTTACCTTATTCTCTTCTGAGAGCCACGGATTCTTTCGGGCTTTACGTGCTTTTTAACCTGGTTTCATAAGTCTTCTTCCAGCTGTTTGAGCACTAACTGGTTTACTAAATTCATCCGAAAGGGCATCTGCAAGGGCAGAAGGAGATTTTTTGCGAACCTTGAGAGACTCGCGTATAAGTATTCAGTCTTCCCGTTTACTGGTTACACGCTTTCTTCCACTTTTTGATTTATTAATGTGGGATTTCGTCTCCACAAAACGCCTGATAGCATATTGAATCGCGCACCGTGAACATCCCCCCAAATTGGCAATCTCAGCCTGAGACTTACCTTCTTCACATAGAACTTGAATTCTAACTCTATCATCGTAACTTATTTCACTTTTTCTAGGCATTTCGATAAATATGAGCTGTTTTTATAAGATTGGTAACTTTTCACTGAATGCAATTTACACTTTCACTTTCAAATTTTAAGTGCGAAAATATTTTATGAATTTCTTAAAAATGACAATTTTTAGGTTTAGCTTACCCAGAGTTCTATGACTTTTAATATTACATAATTTTTTCGTTTAATCAACAGTTAAACACCCATGTAAGACATTTACAGAAAGAAGTGGTAACCTTGGTAGCCACATTTGAGAATAATTGTATTTTAGTGGGTTGCTTAATACTTTTGGCCAAGGCTGTAGATTATACCTCTTGCACGACGGTTTTGTTCATGGTATTGTTATTTCACGACATTGCAAGAGACGATTTTTTATCTTCCGAAGCGGAACAGAAAACAGTTTTTATTTTTATAATTTTTATTTATTATTTTCATACTTAATATTGAATTAAATATTTTACATTTCTATTTATTACTGTCTTAAAACAAACATAATTTCATTTAAATACATACTATGTACGAGTATATATATACGTGTATGTATATGCTTTATTAAATACATTTAAGTTTAGTTGTACTGTTACAATATAATATTTATGAGTAAACACTTAATATATGACATATATACATACATACATACAAGTATGTGTGAATATGCCGCTTTTAAAGTAAATAACAACATTATTGATCAACTGTATTGTTTTGTATGTTTTTTTATTGAATTTAATTTAATTTTATTTTATTTAATCTCTCTTCTTGTTTTTGCACGTATGTATATATGTATGTTTAAGTACGCAAAATTGTACATCAGCTTGTTTAATGGACGCGATTGCATTATAATTACAAAAATAATAATTTATACATAATGTTTTATGTACGTGTATATACAGCAATATACATATATTATTGATTTCATTCCCTAATATGTAGGTATTTACACTATAAAATACAAACAGACACACACAAATCTCACATGAAATATTAAAAATGTGTTTGCCTTTTTTTTTTGTTTGTTTTTTTTTTCAAATAAATCCGCTCAATTTTTTTTAAAATTTTTTTTCTTTTTTAATTTTTGCAATGAACATGTCTGTGCATGTGTATATGTATGCTTCAAAGTACCACCTCTGCTTGCCTCCATTTTCAGTTTCCCAATGTTCAGTTCAATGTGCGTATATGTATGGTCTTGCGGCCGCACCACCGCTTGGTCAATATGGACGCCAGACGTTGCCTAAATCGCCCACATCCACGTTGCGTGCGCCACTGTGCTGATCTGTCGTGACGGTCGCATCACCTTGTGGCACCACCTCCAAATGCGACTGTTGCTGCTGTTGCTGTTGCACTTGTTGCGTTTGTGCATCGTGTTGTTGTTGTTGTTGCAGTGCATGCTCACTACCAGCAATCGCCGCAACATCACCAGCCGCGCCGCCACCAACACCACTATTACCATCACTGCCAACCATTTGCTGCCCCTCATGCAATGCCTGCTGCGCTGATCCATGCCCCCCAACCAACGCTTCATGGTCCGATGTGCCAATGCCGATCTCAATACTCGATCGATGGTGATAGCCAGTCAGTGAACTAATTAACGAATTATCATGTACGTGCACGTGTATCTCATTTTGATTAACGGTATGTGAGTAGAATTTCGGACAGAGTACCATTGTGGGTGCCGCCTGTCCTGGATAGCCGCCGCCTTGTGCTGCGCAACTACTGTAGTTGTAGTTGTTGTAGCCATTAGCGAAATTATTATAGGTCGGATAACTGGCGTTGAGTGTTTCCAACTCCGCCTTGCCGCTATCATAGTGGGTGGGACTGCAAATGGATGGTTGTGTGTGCGGTACAAAGGTGCCTGTAGGCGCCGCCATGCCACTGTGCGGATACTCACACAGCGTTGACATATCGGTAATCATGCCGGCCACTGGTATGCCGTGATCCGGTGTTAATGTTGTGGGGACACTTGCATCATAGCCACAGTGCGGTAGATTGGTGGCTGCGGCGGTGGGTTGGGCGAGATGTGGGTATTGGTAGGGATTATGTGGCCGGTAGGTGGGGTAGGCACCGGTGTTGTACGATGGATAGCCGGTGGTCCAGTCGGTTGCGCCCATAAGTTGGTTGGTTTCTGGAAATGAAAGAGAATAAGATGTTGCCTCGAGTTAGACTTTTGATTGTGAAGTGACAAGCTTCATTACTTTATGTATATAAAAATATTTTACTAAATATAGTTCAAATATTTTAATGCTCAAGCTACTTAAAGAATCCCTTTCGTTGCAATGAAGATCGTCTTTCAAAGCTTAAAGTTCTAAATCGCTTTTTGTGCCACCCTATTACTTAATTCTTAATCTCTCTTAATCTCGCTCTCTCTCTTTCACTCTAATGTGAAATTCGTACAGTAGTGGGTACTTGGCAGTAGTATGGATCGATGGACGGTGTGCAGACAGTGGTGCTCTCTCTAAAAGAGAAAATACATGACTGCCTGGAGTCATTGAGGATCTGAGTTTTGCAAAGTAAACGGTCAAATAATTACCACCGAATTGTGTCAGTTTGATGTGGGATCGCATTGGATTCGGGTGCCGAGCCGAGGTGCGGAAGAGCCCTGCTGAGGTGCCGAAGAGCTTTAATTAAGCCTAGATCCCAACCGAATTGGTTTGTGTATTTACTTCACGCTGCCAATTGGTACCATGATACTTGCATTGTGGGGCGCTGTGGAAGGCTTTGATTGGGTCTGTTTTGTTTTTTAGCATAGTGGGGTTAGACCTAGGACGGGAGATGCTCCCGTAAAGCACGAAACTATGCTCTGTAGATCTTAGTATAAGTGTCCTAAGAAATCAAGTTAATGAATATTTCAATACGTCATGTTCCACTAGTCAAAATAACTTTTATTATCGAATAAAGTCTACAGTTTTTGAGAGGCCATCTCCGAAGGACTGCTGAATTTCTTCTATCTAGTCATGTAAGGTGATTGAGAAAAGATACATTACCAAACTCTTTACGAAGCCTTAACTTCACCTGAAAAATCTTCACCTCCCTTTGCTTCAACTCGACGCAACCAGTCCAATCGCCTAAAGATGGGAAGAAGGTGAAGAAGTTCCTACGCGAAAATGTTCACTAACCTTCGTTTTCAGATGTCCTAACACCGATCGGTCTGCTTCCAGGCGATTCGATTAGAACAGTTCAATCGCCGTTAGCTGGAATGAAGGCGGCAAAGTTTTTATTAACCGACGCTTTGATTCATCCGCGAAAGTTTCAACGAGTTTTTTGCAGAAGATGGTCACAGAGAACAGAATATCTCTTTTGGATTCCTAGCCACAGGAACTTAGTTGGAAATTGTAAGGCACTGAAGCTACTAGGCTTGGCACCAAACAGATTCTTCCCGACATAGAACACATTAGTAATTGCCAACTGCTGCTAAAAGCTTTATTTATGAGCAAGTCGAATTAAGATGGACCACACTGCTAATTGCAGGATTCCTAGACAAACTTGCCCGAAATTTGGCCGAAAAGTTTACCTGAAATATACTCAAGCAACAGAGAGGACAACTCTAAGGTACCTCCTGCGGGCTAGGGGCTCAAGAATTTACCCGAGGTAAGGCATGCCTGTCGTAAGTGGCGACTAAAATCCAATAGTTCCCGCAACAGTCGGGTCTTTATACCGGAACAATCTGGATTTTTATCCGGCCAAGGACTGTCACTCCCGCAACATTCCCCAAAAAGTAATTTGGGGAATAATTTTGCGGTTACAACAACAACAAACAAACAACTCTAAGGTTGTGAGACTCTTAGCAGGTCACTGCTTAATAACAAGACAGATGGCTGGGACGTTGGGAGTTCCCTTCCAGAGATGATGTACAAGCTGGAAGAACGACGAAGAGTAAGAAACGGACTATCATCTGCTCTGTGATCATCTTGCTTGGTTACCCTTTTTCCGGTGCAATGAGAGAGTTTGGCATTTTGCTCTGCCATGATTGGATGTCTACATACGGTACATATAACGCGATTTCCCATGACTTCACAGGCATATGAGTTTCTGGGAACAGCTTTCCTAGCAGACGTCAGGATGAATTATCTATTAGAATATATAAAGGTATCGAAGTGGATGGAAGCGTGATGATCGGTTAAACACCGTGGTATCACAATGGGCCTACACTGGCCGAAATGCATTTATTTTTACACAACGGTGATAACCACTTCACCCTAACCTAATCTAAATGAAATTAATGTACAAAAGAGATGTCAAAATATGTCATAAACATAAAAAATGTCATAAAATGCTGTTAATTGAAAAATAATTTCATATTATAAACCGTTAAACGCACAGTCACAAAATTAACACAACAAGGGCGCAACCACACATACACACTCATATATGACTTACACGTATGCATGCAAAATCATGTGAAATTGCAATATATGGAACCCAGCTGAGCGACATCAATAAACCGTATGTAGACATCAAATCATGGCAAAGCAAAATGTCAAACTCTCTCGTCACACCGGAAAAGGGTTACCAGCGAAACGTAGCACAACAACAAAAACAACAATGGAGAGGGGCACTAAATGAGAAGGAAAAGTAAAGGGTTTGCAGAAGCAGCAGCAGTAGCAGGCATCAGCGACATGCCAACAAATTTATTTCCAATTTACTTGTACGTAACTGAAATGAAGACTACAAATAAAAGAATTCCTTCGCTAAAGCCAAGGAAGAAAATATTTTTGGCCGTATGTTTGTACATAAGATGGTGAAAATCCGTCAAAGGCATGCAGCGACAAGTAAATAAATAAATACTTTGATTAATTATTTTGGGAAATTGTACAGGCTGAGCAGGTGTCTCCGCGGAGTCGACGGCGGCAGTGGCAGGACTGGCCTTAAATAACTACATAAATAGAAGCGGAAGACGCCACTTATGTGTGGAGCACTTCAGGAATTTCGGTGATAATTTCTTCTTCTGTTGTTAATAAATTAAATTCGTTGGCAATAGATGGCGAGAAAGGTAGAAGGGTTTCTTGTGAAGTTGCAGAGTTTAAAGTTTTTATTTTCAGAAAGGCGGATTACAGAAATTATCTCCAATTATTGTACGTTCATACAAAAATATACATATAACAAACGTAGACACGTGTAGTACCTACTAAAGGGTGATTTTTTGGCTATTATATTTTTGGCAACACTGGTTTAAACAGCTGATGAACGTTTTGTGTTTTGTTTCACTGTCAAATATCTTCAGTTTGGTCTATAATTCAACCATGAATCGTCTTACAAAGGAACAAGTCTTGCAAATTATTGAATTTTGTGATCAAAATGCGTGCTCTGTTAAGAAAGTTCATCACGCGGGCGCTTCAAAGCTCATATTTGGCTTAATGGGTGCGTAAATAAGCAGAATTGTCGATTTTGGAGTGAAGATCAGCCAGAAGCATTGCAAGAGCTACCAATGCATCCAGAAAATGTCACAGCTTGGTGCGGTTTATGGGTGCCATCAGCCCATTGGACCGTACTTCTTCAAAGATGATGCGAATCGTAATGTAACTGTGAATGGTGAGCGCTGGCGTGAAATGATATTAAACTTTTTTTTGCCCAAGATGCAAGAAGGTAACTTGCATGACATGTGGCCGCGACAAAACGGTGCCACATGCCACACAGCACGCGCAACAATGGACTAATGGACTTATGGAGAGGCGAGTTCGGTGAACAATTTATTTCACGTTTGGGACCTGTCGTGCGATGTAACGCCTTTAGATTATTTTTTGTGGGGCTATGTTAAATCTAATGTCTATACAGACAAGCCCGCTTCAATTGACGCACTGGAGGACAACATTGATTGACATTTATTTGTGAGATACCGGCCGAAATGTTGCAAAGAGGAAGAGTATGCCAAGATTGGACCAAGCGGATGGACCATTTGGGGCGCAGTCACGGTCAAAATTTGTTTGAAATAATCTTCAAACAACAATAAATTATATGGACCGTACTGTCGATTCAAATAAAGATTTTATGCATTTTTTTGAATCTTATGTGTTTTTTTTTTTTTTTTTTTTTAAAAACTTTCCTATAGTTTTGAAAAATCAACCTTTTCATAGGAAGTCCTGAGAGTTTTAGGAAGTTAATTTATTTCTGCTACTCCATCCAACTCCTAAATTACGTATCCCCACCGCATGCAAGAAGTCGGATTTGGTGAGTACTAGAATATTCTTCGATCTCCCATAATCTTTTAACCTGTAGTCCTAACGACGACGTGGAGTCTATATGTATATAAATAATTGGTACTTTGTAACCGCTGAAATGATTCTCGTCCGAGCTCCTTCAGTAATTTGTAGTGAGCTTCTTGTTATTTTTTCAACGAATGGAGCGGCCTATAGTTTGTTTTAAGCCACGTTCGAACGGCTGATGTATTCTTATGAGGAGCTTTTTCTTGTCACAGCTACACTCGATGGGGTTGACATATCCTGCCAAAGAGCAATCGATTAATTTCTTAGAATCAATAATAAATTTTCAAAAGCTCAAGGCGGTCAATATTTGTCCTGCCCGGTAATAACAGTCAAGGAAAAAGCCCCGAAACTGTTTATCCTTCCTTCGTGCAATACATAATGTGTATTTAGTCTGTTTATTATCCTTGGGTGGCGACCGTTTGCAGTCCCTACGAGAGTTATAGAAGATTCTAAAATCTTTCGGGATCTACCTTCGACCAGAAAGTTGTTTTTATCATGCGCGTGCTGATATTAGACCAGTGTTTGCTCAGGTGAAGTGGGCTCTATCAGATTAGGAGAGGACTATGGTGTCCGAAGACTTCCCTATATATTTTCTGCAAAGTTCTATTATCACAAGGTCGCACATTCTCGCAACCTAATTAGTTTTGCAGTTACCAACAATTCTGCTGTGAACCCAAATCAACCTTATGGAAAAATAGCTGAACACTATATGGAGGAAAGACAAGTATTCTTATCATTTCGCTTCTTTTAAGGGCCTTGGCAAAAAATCCATAGCTGGGGCAGATGAAGGAAAAGTCGCAGGATTATATCTTATAAGAACTATCTAGCGACTAAAGTGAATGACAAATTTCCTCAAACTCTATGTGAGAGCGGAGAGAAAAGTGGGTCAATAGTGTTGGCATTAGCACACAGAAGACGAAGCTTG